GTACACTATCAATTTTATTCGTCCCTATACTCAGAACCCTGTTTCACATGAATTTATTGCCTGTTCCCATTTCTCCTTTGTCTGTCGTTTTTGTTGGACGCTAATTGTTTCACTCTTGGTCGAATTATCTGAAGTGTGATACATTTGCACATTCCCTTTTGTTTGAATGGCAGCATCAGGAAACATCCGGCAGCTATACTGCTTACAGGGAGAATAACAATAAGGGCATATACTGCAAGCAGAGTCAATACTCGGAGATTGGAGTTTTTTACTCAGGATTTTTCCTTTAATTTAACTCTCAACCAGTTTCCATTTTTGTTACGAAAGCTTTTCATTTTTGTAACTTTTTTTTGTTATTTGAGATTGCTAGGACTTCGTCATCGTCTAGGTAGCTACAGAAAAGTAGGTCCAATGATTTTGAACTATTATGGGTAGGTTGCACTGTACGTTGAACGAATCACCTTGTATTTCCCAGTATGTTAAATGAATTATTCCATAGATCCACTGTTGTGACATTCTATTCCGTACAATTAATTGCATTCATTTTCAATATGTGATAGGAAAATATGATCATCTACACATCTTGATGTAATCTGTACTTTCTGGTGTTGACAATTCGACATGACACACTACAAGGCGGCAAACGTTTCAACTCTCCCAAAACATAAAGAAAACATAAAACAGAAACGTGCGAAGTGTACTGCTAACTGGTAGGAACAAGCTGAAGAAGCTTTTCGGCTTGGTCCGGGAAGAAAGTAATGAATAGATACGCACCTGAGAAGACAACCAAATGAAGAGAATTAACATAAATCCACAACATTCGAACAAAAAACAAAGTAAAAACAACTCGGGACTTACAGATGAGAACAGTCCCTAGAACAGCTGAAAATTTGCCTTGTACTGTAACCAATCCAGCTTTTCCTGCATTTTGCAGCTCAGTCGAACCAACAGAATCGAAAGTCCCTGCATTTAAGATAGATTTTGTTGCTCTCTGCATATCAAAATTTCTATATAGACATCAGTCATTTCTAAAGCAAAAGGGATAATTCACCAGGCTTCACAGACTGGAGGCCTGATGTTATGCAGGCTATATCTTGATAACCAGCTCCCTCCAATTTTCTTGCAGCAGCCACAGACCTAATTATATCGGTTTAATTATAAACTAATAGCATCAGTTTATTTTTAGTTTTCCAGTAAATGATCGAACAATGCAACCACACTCGTAAAAATTCATGTTATAAACAAAGGAGACTACGCACACCTGAGCCCTTCCTGGCAAACGAGCAACAACTTGCTCTCGAGCGAAAACTGGGTCTTAACAGATTGCACGAAATCCAGGTTGGGTTTAGTGAAAGGCAACCCGAAGAACAAGCCTGAGAAATTGTTATGCAAGGTCCTCTTCACAACTGTGCCTGTTCACATCACATACATGTAAAAAATTAAAAACCAAACCATTACTAAGATAGTAATAAGAATGCCAATGATTTGGAATATAGCCAAACACAGACACACACACACACACAAACCCAAGTCATTGTCTTTGTTTTCGATAAATAAAGGGACATGGTAACAGCCCTTTATGTGGGCCCGTTCGAACTGAGTCCGGTCTCGAACATCCACAACCGTGTATCCCTCGACTGCTATTAGTTTCTTGGCCTCGTCCGAGTCGACAAAGTTCACCTCAGCTTTTATTACCAGATTTTTTCTCCGTGATGTAGTCCGTGCTAGCGCTGCTGGTCCTCGGTTAGCCCCGATGATCAAGCGAAATGTTGCCAAATTGCTGTAACCACATGCCTAATATCCTTAAATCACATGAGTAACTATTGAAGAAAAATGTTGCTATCAAGTTTGTGATGTAGCTTTTGTAAACTAGAGAGCAACATTTTGACATATTTATGACAAAAACAAGATATACGAAGAAAGAAGAGAGAGTTTTGCTCGTAATATACCTTCGAGAGGAAATTGCTGAAGGGCAACAGCAAGCTATCTCTGCAGCCATGTCTACAGCTCTCTCTCGGGTCTCTCTCTCTCTCTCAAAGCAGATTATGATTTTGCTTCTTGTTTAGTTGCCACGAAGGATCCAAAGAAAATTAAGTGCACGAATGGGTTCCTGCCACGTGTGATGGAGTATGTAATGGGATTGGATATAAATTTGCTCGAGTCTTCTTTTTATTTTCCGATAAATGAAAACTAACATCACAAGTTGGAATAATTTTGTTCCTGCTATTGGTTGGGGCAAATCACAGACAAAATGCAAATTTTCAGCATAAATTATGTGCTATTTATTATGTGCTCTCTCTCTCTCTCTCTCTCTCTCTCTCTCTCTCTC